GTCCATTTCCAAACGAAATGGATGTAACTTGGTATTCTGGATTCTTGGAGGGTAAAATACTTTGTGAGTAGTAAACCTGAAGTTGGGGCCCGACGGGCCTAATAAGTAGATAAAAATTCTCTTCAAATCGGACATTCTATTCGCTTGATAATAGATTTATAAATATTCAAAATTTGAACCATTTGTGGGGGAGGTACCAGAAGGAGGGGACAATAGGTCCCATCTTCAGACTTGATATAGGCTTGGTAAAGATAAGATGATGCGCAAAGCTTGATGTAAATCGGACATTCCATCACCTAATATTGTATTTTTAAATATTGAAAATGTTGACCTTTTGTGGGGAAGATACCAGAAGTAGTGGACCTACGGGTCCCATCTTGGGACTTAATCTAGGCTTGGCAAACATAACAAGTTTTACAATGTTTGTTTCAAATCGGATAGTCGGTTCTCATAATGATAGTTTAATTAATTTGTTGCACAATTTTAACAATCCATCATCGAACATAAACAAAGTTTGGAAGAAATATTACGATGTGTAAAGATTGATGAAATCGGTTACTCCTTTCGAAAGTTCTAGTGCGCACCAGACATACGGACTGACGGAACGACATTTGTAAATCGACTCCAAATTGTCTGAAACGGATTACGCCCAAAGAAGCATGGGGTCTAAAACCAATATTTCAATTAGGAACATTTTTGCCATATCAAAATGTACATACCCTCATTAGCCATAAGCAACGACTAAAGTCGCGATTCGCAACATTTTCGATGCCCTGTGTCTCTGTGTACAACCTTTTAAGCTTTGTGCTACTTTTCTTCCATTTTTTTTTTTGTTACATTGTATTTTCCTTTTTATCTGTAAATTCAAATTATTATGGATTCATTTACTTTGTTTTTCAGTTCAAGGAAATTTTACATATTCTCCGAACTGTTCTAATCAAAAACTTACATTTCTGTGCGATTTTTTATTTATTTAAGAGAACATCAATAGGAATTTTTAAAAATTCCTCTGGCCATAAGTACTATTGCACTTCCTTTGTTTCTTCTATATTTCCTGCAGCATAAAATCGCATAAATTATAGAATTTTCTACTCATATTAAACACAAATTTCCTGTAGTTCTTTATGTATGCAAGATTGTTAATATTAAAAAAATACCTCTATATTAATGCGACTTCTATTTTATCACTTGAATTCCATTTGTGATTCATGGTGTTAAACAGTTTATTTTGTTTTTGTGTTCTATGACTTCTTGGCATACATAATATATATATTTACCGGCACAAACAACTTATATATTATAAAAGACTGATATACAAAAAATATATACAAAAACAAACAAATAAATAAATAAAATATTGATTAGACCACCAGACAGACAAATGATGACACTTCGAAATGAATGATCTGAACATAAAAACGAAAAGAAAAAAAAACAAACGTTATAGGTTAAATAGAATCGCATACTTTTGCTATAATTTACATATATGTATAAATAATTAATATACATAGGTGTGTCTGTCGGAATAAATGAATATTAATTTATTTTTATAAACAAATATATGTGTGGCCCCTTTCTTTGATCTATAACTTTTATGGCAACACCTAACCCAGCTTTTAATCTTTTGAAAGGGTGAATGACCATTGGCTATCCTGTAATAAATCTAAAGATGTCAACATATTCATGATATTTGTAAATTGTATGTATGTCAAAAATTACTATAAATTTGGTTATCTCAACAAAACTGCATTGTAATTATTATTATTTTCAAATATTTTATTTTCTATGTATGCGACTGATTACAGCATGGCATATTTTTTTATTAATTGAATTTGATTTGGTTTTATCTAAATCAATTTCAAAGTCTAAACAGTCAAGACAACGTCAATCTATTTACGATAACATTTAACTGGCCTCCACACAACAGCAAGAAAATATTCCCGAAAAAAATATTGATTCCCAATTACCTTTCAACCAATAAAAATTACAAACGTCCAATTGTATTTCACACAATGTTGTGTGCAACTAACTCACAACTCATATGTTTGGTTCCTAAACTCTTTTTTTGTCGTTTGATAAAAAATCCTAATCAATGAAACAGACACACACGCACGCATACCAACACTTTATAATAAAACCTTTATCAATCATATATATATTTTTTTCAAATGTTGAACCAATTTCATTTTATTCGATTTTTTTGTGTGTGTGGTTCGGTACGTTCTTCCACGAATATCAAGCACCTGCCATATGTTTGTGTGTGTGTCTGTCTGTATGTCTTTTATTTCGGCGAACCACATTATGACTTTCTTTAGATTAAATTTAATATTTCGAAGTCAGTTGTAGACGGTGTTTTGTTAAAGAAAGGTTCGTTTCCCCTATCAAGAAAGAATAAAAAACAAATATTTGGGCTTTGACCCATGATTCATTGTGAAGCTGATATAGAACGTCCACAAATTAATTCATTTAATCATAAATTTCAAGTGCTGCAAATCAAATTATTCATTACCCCCCTTGAAATAAAAATCTAAATAATCTCCCCCAAATCCGCGTTAAATGACTTTCGGACCACTTCAGAGATAATCTTAATTGTGGTCATTTCAAATTAAAAGCCATTCAAATTGTGTGAACTTATAAACAAATTATTCTATGATTTAAATTTGAAACAGTGGTGTGGATACAGTTAAATGCAAAAGAAAAAAAATAAATAAAATAAAGTAAAAAATTAAGCCAAAATTAAAAAAAAATAATGAAGAATTGAAAACTGAAAACCGATAACTAACTACAATTTGTGTAGTTCAATATTTATTCTAGTGATCGCAATGGACTGTTAAAGTGCTAAAAATACAAAATCGTTTATAACGACGGTATTCAAAAATCCCGAAAATGCTGCCCTTTTTTTAATATTGCTTATAACGATTATCACTTATTGAGTCCCTTGACCATCATTATAAATGATTTCGACTTATATAGAATAATCGGTGTAATCAAGTTGGATTTTTGGGTTTTACATTTATCTTCCGCCTACCTACCGTAATCGTCTGTGTTATCTCTGTTATGTCGGCCATTGGAAAACATTTTTTGGAATAATGATTACAGTCGAATATGGATTATTAATACTAACTAACTGAAATTGAACTTTGGAACCTGACCAGCTGATAACATATTGGAATTATCTATAATATTGGAGTTTTGAAATATAACCTCTAATATAATGACATCTAATGATTTACAGGATTGAAAATTATCTTCTCTATGAGAACAACAGTATTCATTTAAAATTAATTTTTAGCAGAAAATATACCATTTTGTGAGAGAGGTACCAGAAAGAGTGGACCTTCGAACTTTAATTAAGTTTGGTAGAAATATTACGATATGCAAAGTTTGAATGAAATCGGTTACTCCCCTCAAGAGTTAGCGTGCACGCCTCAAAGTTATCAAGCGACTCAAAATTGTCCGGAACGGATTTGGTTCAAAGAAACATGAGGTCTAAAACCAACATTTGGATGAGGCACATTTTTGCCGTATCAAAGTATACATACTTTTATTAGCCATAAGACTGAGGGTATAAAAATGTAATTAGTGATAAATCCGGATTGACCCATACATTTTGACCGCTCATAATGGTGTTGTCATGGTGAAAAATGATTTGTCTTCACTTATTCATTTTTAAAAGTTCGCCGAAGACGTCGTCTCATGATCAGTTTTCCCACTGACAGTTTTTGTGGTATTTATAGTTTCGAATCCCATTTTTTTACCCTCAAACATATTGCATTTGCAACATCTTGACATACCAAAAATGTTCAACACTGATCCATTTGTTAAGGAGATTTTATAAAATCTCCATAAACTATCAATAATGACCTTATTTTCGGTGTAGGTCCCATATTACGATAATCCTATTATTCCGTATCTGGGCACATTTTTCAACCGGATTCGTTTAAATCACAATTTTGTTATCAAAAATATCCACACAACATATTTTGAACATCCACTTCATGGTGAAGGGTATAAAAAGTTAGACCCTGTATGTCGCATTTGTTATCCGAATGCGATGAAATTTGGCACGTCTAATTTATATGACCCAAGGATGATTGCTATAGAAGTTCGTGAGAATCGGTGTACCAAAGACCCGAAGTTTGTTCGATTTATTAATTCGTTGCACATTTTGATATAGCTCCCACACACAATTTCGACCGACCTCATGTAAAGCATGAACAAATGACAAAAAAATTATTTATTCTACTGAATTGAGTCTAGAATAATCTCTGGCAATATTGCTCTAAATCGGTACATATTGATCACCATGAGAATTATCTTGGGCTTCCGAATTGAGAGATTATCAATTGATCATTTATATGAATTCGAATTACTCTTCTATGAGATGACCATTTGCCCTTTTATTATAAATCCAATTAATCTTGTGTGGAAAGACATTTATCTTACTTATGATACGAGGGTTACTTTCTTTATTTCTAATACAGGTAACATCAATTTCATTTAAATTGGATCAAATTTTATATAGTTCCAGGCTATTTTAAGCTCGATTTTGTTCAATTGACACACTCACCGTTTCGTCCGATTAAAACATAATTGTTGAAACACATTTCCCAAGTTTCCAATAAATCGGTTCAAAATTTTAATATCGCTTTAATATATAACTAGCTACGAGATAACAATAACTAACTCTATACAACTGACCATTTTTTTCCTGATTTTTTAATTAAATGTTTCACTCTGCTATTTAATAAGAACTGTTTATTGCTTGAAAATCGCATAATATTTATATTATGCGATTTTCAATTATGTTTATGGTATTATTTAGAATAATATTTCCGATATCAAATTAAACCAAATTTTTTATTTTCCTCTCTTTACAGATACCACAGCTGCAATTCTAAAAATTTGTTAATCTTCGTACTTTTTTGGTAGGCTACTGTTATTGTTGTAATTACGGATACAACAACAAGAATAACCAGTAGCATTTGCTGAATAATTAACAACAAAACAAGAAACCCAACACACACAAACACAAAATCACAATGGCCTTAGTAATGAAATATATAAACATCATGAACAGATATATGGACTCACATGGCGGTAAGTTAATAAAAAAATTAAGAACAAAATTTAAAAAATATTTAAAAAAATCCAGCTGGACTGTATATAGTCCGGAAATTCTGATATAAAAAATTAAATATTCTTACATAGCCACACTACAAGTTTTTTATTCAAAAGAGGAAATATATTCTGGGAAGTAATATTACCCTCATATTCAGAAGAATTATCGAATGGGCTATGAATTTACTTCCTAATTTTCTAAAAAGGCAAAAATACACCCATTTAGAAATTTCACAAAAATTATTTTCTTATCAATTCACATGGCGGTAAGTTATTCCTCTCTATCTCCTCCTAAGTATGAATTATTAAATTTCAATTCATAAAAAATTCTCTTCGCATCTGAGTTAATAGCCAGAGCCAGCAAATCAAAATCTACACTGCAAAAATTCAATATCTCCAAAAATAGCTGATCCCCGCAACCGTAATGGTGTATCAAATAATCAAATTCATTCAACAATATCCACTGACCTTGAAAATAAGTTTCCAAGTTTTCAGTATTTTTTTGGTTTTGGTGTTGGCAACAACAACTAACCCTGAACAATATTTACAAGCCATTGGAATATTTTTTTCTTGTGTAAATTTTAACATATTCCAACTAATTGATTGGCCCTCAAAACAAATTAAGTTTACACTAGGCTGGTGGCCGACCAAATGCTAGATTAGGCGTGTGCTCATTGGTTAGCTGGTGTAATTGGACAACACCAACGAACATGTGTGCTGGAGATGGTGGTGAAGTGGACTTTGATTTTGGCCAGGGGGTGTAGTGGCTTTATAATATTATTTTTTTTTTCATTAATTCAGGTATTCTGTCATACATTGTGTTCCATACATCTTCTGTGGCTGTTTGTCTGTCTGTCTTGACTTTGTCACGCCATAATTTTTGGCTAATGTACTTAGCTTTGCTACACCTTGTCACACATTTGCTTGTTTCTTTCAAGGGGTTTTTATTTGTTTTTGTTGTATTTTCGTTAAATTTTATAAATCTTGATATGTTCGTCTGTCCGTCCGTCCATCCATCCACCCAATTCGTTAAAATTCAAAGCGGAAATTTGGGAATTTTTGGAATTATTATTTATCGTCATATTTGTCTTTTAGCACACTACATGCGCCATGAGTTTTGGAGGGAGTTTCGTCATTTTGTTCACGTTTTTCAATTAATAAAAAGGTGTTACACTGGGCAACAAACAAATGTCTACAGACAGAAATTAATTTTGAAAATATTATTTGGTAAAAAATGATAAAAAAAACATTGCGCATTTGAGAAATTCAAAATGTGGAATAATTTTTGTAGGACATCGTATTTCAGTAGTGTTGGCGGGTTATTTAGTATACCCTGTGTATTTTGTTATTACAGGCTTAAGATCAACTCTATAAAAAATTGGCTCTTATATAAGAAAAACAGTTGTACTTCCGTGAAAACACAATTTTCCTTCTCTAAGAAGACAAATTGCTCTTTTATGGGACGATCTTTTATTAGAAATCCCATTGATCTTTTATGGGAAGACCTATATATTCCATATCATACGGGGGCTACTTTTTTGGCACAAATAACACCATCTTCACTTTCATTCACAACTCCCTATTCTATAGTACACCAAATGGTACACCAAAATTTGATTGTCCGAAGTCTTCTGAGAAATTCGATAATCGAACATGAGAATTCAAATCATTGTGCACCATGGTAATGACAGCTCTGAGCGCCTTTTTGCTCGGTTAGAGGCTGGAATTGAAGGGTCATCTGCCTTACAGCCTTCAAAACCAAAGGTTTTTGTTACCAGAAGAGGCTGCTGGAGCCTTCTAAACTAATGTTCTAGAGCTGAAGAATACTTTGACAAATAATATATCCTGAAATATACAAAGTACATAAGACAAATCATTGTGCTTTACGGCAACGACAGATCTCGGCGGCTTTTTGACCGGCCACAAGTGAAATTAAAGCATCATCTGTCTTACAGCCCTGATTTGGCGTCCAATGATTTATGTTAATCCCGCACATTGAGAAATATTGCGTGGTCACAGGTTTTTGTTACTAGAAGAGGTTGCTGAAGCCTTCAAAACCAATGTCCTCAAGCTGGAGAGTACATTGAAAAAAAAAAAAAAACAATTTATAGCCTGAAATTTATATAGAAATCCTCGTACGATTAATTACTCATTCTAAATGGCACATCCTTACGGGATTGCCTGAATCATCTTTGTTTGGTCTAAGATTTTCGTCGAGAGAAGATACTGTCGAAGCCTTCAAAAACCACGTCTTGGAGTTGTGTCAATCGATGGTTCTACAAGAAGACCATTTCCTCTTTAAGTGCCTTATTCACCTCTAAACGTTTCAGGGGGGTTACTCTGTATTGCGATGCGTAAGAAAAATTGTATCGCATCGCGTAATTGGTACTCTCTAATTCGTTTTCGTATCTCCTTTCGCATCTACTTTACGCAAATGTGGCATCACCGCAATCTGTAATACGAAAACGCATGTCAAACTCGTTCGTTAAACGCAAATATCTTGCGTTAACAAAATAGCAAACGCAAATGAAGCGAAACATGTAAATAAGAACAATTAAAGTTTTTATTTACATCTAAATTGATAATTATTTTGGGTGAAAGCCAAAAAAAGTTACATTTGACGACTCAGCACCGTCAGTTCCAAACTTTAGTAGATTTTATGGTGCAACACAGCGATTTGGCAAGGGGCCAGTTGTAGAGTTCAAATGCGAAACGACGCGCCAAAAAATTGTAGAGAAAACTGGATGATGACCTTAATTCCTGTAAGAGATGTCGCTGGTTGGGAAAAAGTAATGTTTTATATTTTATATATAAAATGTGAAACTATGTGTGCATATTTACAGGTTGGTGTTGATAACCACCTTGTCCAAGCAATTTCAACGTCCACTTTTATTGGATTTGGAATTGCTGTGGATCTATTTGGAACGACGAGGTCATTTTTAATAGTGTTTATTAAAAACATAAACGCATCTTTATTGAGACGAAAATTTTGTACAAATTTATAAAAATTAAATATTTGAAAACGTTTGACACATTATTCGTACTTCTATTTTCATACCCGTGTTCACTTAGGTAGAGTATATTTGATCGATCTCTTAAAATTCTTTTTTTTAGTTGGTTCATCATTTTTGTTTAAAAAAAAACACTCGTACCACATAAAAATATGTTTTAAATGTTTAATGTTTAAAAAAAAAACACTCGTACCACATAAAAATATGTTTTTATTTACAATTTTTTGACGTTTCCTTTTGTCATTTTTCGTTATTGTTTACTTTGTGGTGCCAGTGTTGCTTTCGATTTATTTTGCGAATGCGTTTGCGTGAGCGATACAGAGTACCAAATTGCACTCTTAACGCATTTAGCTTTCGCATCGCACTGGCTTTCGCAACGCAATACAGAGTAACCCCCCAGGTTACAAATCCCTGACTTATTCAATTCTCTTTTCTTTAATTACATTATTAAACAATTAATTAATTGGAAAACAATAAATATTGAAATTTTACAACAATAATTATTTATGCACTTGGCAGCCGTTCAAAGTACAAAAATCGTGACGCCTCAAACCATTGTAATAATGTGTGTGTGGCATTTCTCCCCCGTGGTTCGAGGTGTCTGTCATGTCAGTTAGTTTATTTTTTATTTATATTTTCCATTTGATATGAGATGAGGAACTTTACGTCACTTCCATCAATCAATTCTTGTCATCCAGTGTCACAAACACACACTTGTTGTATTCAGTTTTTGTAGACAAGGACTGTGGAATTGAATTAGAATGGAGAAAGAAACAGGAGAAAAAGAAAATTGAATACGAAAAAAAAACTAAATTAAAAAAACATGATATATAGATGACAATCTACACTGGCTTCGCTTATTTATTTATGCTGTTTATTTATTCTATTTCCAGATCCCAGAACGAAGGATTGGCCAATGATGTCATCACCATTTCCCACATTAGCTGTATGTCTCACATATGTCTACTTAGTCAAGGTAATTGTAAATGGAATATATAAACAAAAAATAAAAAATATTAAATTAATACAGTGGGATATATTTTTTTTTTTTTGGTCTGTTTTCCTACTAGTTTAGTCTCAAAAGATCTATTCAAATGACTTAAAACTTATTCTTACACACTTTATTAAATTGCCTTCCCATTTTTTCTACGTTTTCCAAATAACAGGTCTTAGGTCCACGATGGATGGAAAATCGCAAACCATTCCGTTTACAAAACACATTAATTGTCTATAATGCAGCACAGGTGATATTTAGTGCGTGGATATTCTATGAGGTAAGTTTGTCATGACCTGGCCTTTTTTCGTTTTGCAACACCTCCCCACACCTTAGCAAGGTATAGGTGTGCGTTATTTTGTTTCGGTCGTCTGGGTGTATCGTTTCAGCAAAATAGAAAAAAATAAAGGAAGAACAAGTCTAGCCGCGTACATCTCTTCTAGTAAGCTTCTGCAACAACTACAGCAGCAACGACAATTACATGAATTGTACAGGAATGTTACTTTTTTTAGACTACAAGCAACAACATCAGCCACATCACAGTCATCGCCATCATTTGTTTCAAAACTGCACATTGGTTTCCTGTTGTTTTTTGAAGCTTTTGTTTTGTTATATTTTTTCATTTCAATTTTATTTTCTAAGCACCTGTTTTGTTTTTTAATTAGTGCCGTTTTCTGTGCCGTTCTACTAAGTTTAAGTTTGCCATATTTATTTTTGTAGTGTTTAATGGGAGGCTGGTGGGGTCATTACAACTTAAATTGCCAACCGGTGGAATATGCCGATACTCCACGTGTAAATCGAGTAAGTTGGTGTCAAGCAAAACCAAACAACGTAATCCAGCAACAATGAACAAAAAAACAAAATCTGAAATTGGTTTATAAAAAATGAAAGAATCTCTAAATGATGTTAGCACTCTCGAAACAAGTTACTATCACGCTGGCATATCCATTTATAAACAAAAAATCTATTTAACTTAGATGACATTCATCACAGCGCAAACGGCGGGTAAAATATGCCTTCACATCATAATAATGTGCTATATATGTGTGTTATACTCTTCACATTCATTAACCGGAGAGTAGAACTTTTAACAATCTTAGAAAAACTTTCATGCTGCTTCTTTTTTCAATTGTAATGGGGCTTAATTTAAACTACGAAGTGTATCATTTTCAAATATATCTTCTTTTATTTGTGTTGCTTTCATAAATTTGTAGTAGTTAGCTTTTTTGTTTTCTTTACATCAATCGAACACCACACACACACACATTTGTTTACATACAAACATATATACAAAAATTACATGAATTCACACACACACACATACATATACACGTATATACAAATTTCCTTATTTATTTATTGCTTCTCATATATGTATTTGAAATTAAAAATTAAATGTGGTAAGAAATTTATTTTTGCTGGAGAAAATTGTAATAAAAAACAAGCCAGCAAAACAGCACTTCATCCATTGCCTACATATAAGCTGAGTAGTAAGTAGTCGAGTAAGTAGTTAATTGTTATGGGATTTGTTTTTATTTGTTTACGATATTAACTGTTTGCGTCATGTTTCTGTGAAAATTCGAAACGAAAGACTTTCAGTGAGTTGCAATCTATCCTCTAAGGGTTTTGAACCATATTCCAGAAATTATTGTTTGTAATCAATCAAGTAATAATGTTTGCCTAAAGAGGTAGTTGTTAGTAAATCCCTGGAATTCGTTCGCATCGAATTTTACAAAAACTAAACATAATTGTATATTGTTGCACAGTGGTATAAAAGAAAAAAATGTATACAAATGTTTATATACAATGATAAAAAAGTATACGAAAAATGTATAATAATTAATATTAAAATATCATACCAACAGAACAAAAGTCATCGATTGGAATTTCCCGAATTTTGTCATCATATTATGTGAGTAGGGTGAATAGGGGCATTCTGTTAAAATGGTGTTGTATTACAATTCAGGAAATTCACCACTGATGGTTAGTGTCTCTGCTATACACCCGAGGAGCCATCTAACGGCAATTGTCTGAACAATTTAACATGATATAATTTTAACCGATTGAAGATTAGTCTTCTCTTAGTCGGGTTTCAAATTTCTCATAGGCTCTAGAGGAATGACAACATGACAAGAGTTTTACTGAAGGAACTGGCGACCACTTCTTACGAAGTACATCTTTCACGAACAACTTTAGTTGAATTTGGCTCTCTTAAAAGACCCACGCTGTCGAATGTTGTTTAATTTCGGGATCTATAATTCAAACGCATAGAAGTTATTGTATTGCCGAAGAAACATGCGATCATTTGCTTCGAAGTGTTTCTTCCACGAACAAATTTCGTTGATTTTCGAGAGATTCCCAAATTGTGTGTTATTCTTAGAGTCATGGGATACCATTTAGAAATGACGAGGGATCTTCTTCAGTCTTTGTGCATTTACACACGAGACCCACAGCGAGACATTCATTAAATTTAAACTATTGCAAAAGTTATAAAATATATGATTAAATATATATATAACATATATGATTAAATATAAAATATTTAATCAAAAATCAATCAAACAGCTAGGTGAACGAACTTAGGGCCCATCCCCTATTTTTGCAACCAGTTTGAACCATTGGACATAGTTTTTCTCAGCTTATCGTTCAAAAGATTTCCAACTGGTTTCTCCGTATTTATGTCCTTTCGATTCATCTTCAAGGCTGGACCAATGACAATTCTCTTCCTCAGCGTGTCACCGACCTAACCGGCTAATGGATAATGTATTAGCTGTTCGGTACGCTTGGCTTCAGTTTCTTCAGTTTCCAGAGCGACACATCCACATTAGCTTCGAAACTCAATTCATTGAGACTTCTTTCAAATTTTTGGATCTTAAACCATAAACAGAAGTTCGGTCCGTGCAGAGCCTCCCACCTTCTATCTGCAGCAGCTATGTTCAGAATTGAAGCTTCATCGATAAAATGTCTCACCATCACCGCCTTCTTCCTTACCGCAGTCTACTTCTGACTCTGCATTTTATTCATAACTTTTTATTTCTTTGGATTTTCCGACAAACTGTCAGAGTTTCCTCCACCTTAAAGGTAAATTCTTTAGCACTTATTTCTCCAGGATCGATCAGCCCGAAGGATCAATGATGAACGAGGGATCTTTATAGTTGGTACGGATATTCTCTGCGGAGTGAAATCACGTCTAATTCTAGTTTATTCAAACAATTCACCACTTGCGGTTCGTGTATATGCTACAAACAAATCCGGAGCCATCTAACGGCAATTGTCTGAACTAAATGGTAATATTACATAATTTTAAACAAATTCCCCTTTTTATCCTACTCAATTTGGTATTCTTATTAATACCTTAATAATGAAATTCAAACAATTGCATCATTGACATAATTATTTATATATGCATTATTTTAAATATGTATCATTTTACAAACAAATTGAAAATATTTTCTTTTATCACCACTGTGCAACATTTACAAAAATACCACTATATAATCGTCATCGAATATTAATTGAAAAATTTGGAAAATGTAAGGCCACAAAACTATTGTTGTATGGCAAATTACCTTACATTGAACAATATTTGGGTTATTAATATCATAAAAAAAACTATTGTGTAAGTTAATAATTTTTTTTTATTTGTTATATGTAATTAGTTAAAAAATGCCTAAATGTTTTGGTTTTTAATGCAATGCAATGTGCAGCGGCAGAGGCCATTTACAAGACAATGGTTGCCAAATTTGTGTTGTATGTTTTATTAGTGTTATTATTTATTTTTTTTAATTTTTTGGTTTGTAGTTTTGCTTTATTTTTTCCATTCATGGTTAAACAGGATAACATTTATTTTTTTAAATGCTAAGAACAACATTGAACAACAAAGAAAAATTAGACAAAATTTATAAAAAAAAAAAATAATTAAGAGAAACAAAATTTGTAGAAGCATACAAGAGAGAAAATTTTACTATTACTATTATTTTTTTTAAATTAATTAAATAAAAATCTGTTAAACTACGATGACACACAAAAACCTCTAAAGATAACTAAATGACACACACACACAATTGAAAAACGAGAAAAACAACTTCCTTCCAGCGTACGAACTTTGCGTATAAGAACAAAATTACACACTCAGCAGCAGCAGCGTACATCCACGACCGTTACTATCGCCATTATTAGCTTTTATCGCTACTACCTACTACTGCTCATAACGCCATTGACATTTGAAGTTCATACGAAAAATTTTTGTTGTATTTCAGATTGGTATTTCCGGTTGGCTGACAGGACACTATAGCTTCCGATGTCAGCCGGTTGAGTATAATAATAACCCTAGAACGATAAGGGTATGTGTTAACCATCAAAATCAAAATTCCAAAAACCAAAAATGCTAAGCATTGCAAAATTTATTTTTGTCCATTTAACACAAATAGTAAATAACCCCCACCTTAGTATCCTAGTTGTCTCTTTCTCTCTCTATAGAATACTGTTTTTTGTTTCTATTAGATGCATTTCTCACCCACAAATCCACTTTCTTTTTATTTCGTTGTTATTTAAAGACTCTCTCTCTCAACATTAAGAATAAGGAAAATGATTTAAAATATATGAAAATAATAAAAAATTGTAATTTAAATAATATTTTTTTTTCTTTTGTCCCGAAAAATCATTTTCCTTGTTTAAAATATTTTTACAGCTTTTACGCTCGCTTCCCTTTAAAGCAAGCTTTACACAAATTCTCAATTCAGTTTGTTCTTTATTTCTTACTTGAATCTCTTTATTTTTTCCTTTAATTTTTATTTTGCAATTTTATTTTAAGAACCTTAACCAGTAGTTGATAATTATGTTACTAATATTTGGTGGTGTTTTTAGCTTTTATTTAACCAAACAAAGTAATTTTTATTATATTTTTTTTCTTTTTCGAGAGAGCTATTCAAGTTTTTTTAAATAAAAAATTATTAACAATTAACTATATACTCTTAATAAAAAATCAAATCTCAAGATTAAATGTAACCAAAGAGAATATAGATTATTGTTAATAATTTTTGATCCCCCCTTTTTATTGAATTTTATGTTGGACCCCCTTTAAAAAATTAAATGTTTTTTGCATGAAAAAAACATTTTTAAATAGATTTTAGCTGTCAATGAAAAGTAAGTAATATATCTGCAATTCAAAATAATTACATTATACTTAATAAAATATTGAAAATAATAGAAAAATTAATTATTTTAAATCTTAAATTAGTTTTTAAATATATATATATATATATATATATATATTCAATTTTGTTCACATAATTTATTTTTCCAGAACGAAATATCTGAGAATATCTACAGATCTAACACCTAAACTACCTTTACGGAAAGTCATTTCGAATGATACCACAATTATAGCAGCATCAACGAACTTATATCATTTCAATCAGGGATATAAATAGTTCACGTTTTCTTTCTATTTTCTATAAAAGGTTAAAAAATGCGTTTTAGGGTAATTTATAACAGAAATCCTTCTCCGCTACAGTGATTTGTACACTTTTTCATGCCCTAAAAGCAATTGTCGTAGCACATGTTCCACTCCAATTGAAATGCCTGATGTGAGTAGGGTAAATAGGGGAATTCGTTTAAAATGGTAATTTATAACTGAAATCATTCTCCGCTACAGTGATTTGTACACTTTTTCATGCGCTAAAAGCAATTGTCGAAGCACATGTTCCACTCCTATTGAAATACCTAATGTGAGTAAAATGGTGTCACCACTTATGGTTTGCACCTATGCTACAAAAACGAGGTGTTATCTAATAGCAATTGTCTGAACTAAAATGTAATAGAACACCATTTAAACCGAATGCCCCTATTTAACCTAACCTTGCCTTTCTGACGTTCAAAAAGACACATTGAGCTGATGTGCCAAACACATTTTGCCTTTGGGAAAAATAGTTTGCCAGCAAAAATTAGTGGCGTGTGAGAGGCAAAACGCTATTAAGAGGCAATATAACGAAGAAACATAACATAATTAATGTTTTTTTGTGGGTGATTCACCACTGATGGTTCGTGTCTATGCTATAAACACGATGAGCCACCTGACAGCAATTGTCTGAACTAAAATGTAATAAAACACCATTTTAACCGCATGCCCCTATTCAACCAACTTATATGATGGAATAAAAATAAATTATTGGATGCCAAGTGAAGGCTGTGTAGCAGATGAATAATCAATATCATATTTCGGCCAGTCAAAAAGACATAAAACTGTAAAGATATTTTGCATTTTGACAAAATATGTTGTCGAAAAAAATTAGGGGAGTAGGAGGGGCAAAACGCCATTGAGAGACAATACAGACAATACAACACGAACAAACATTAACAAAATTCCGGTATATCGGCTTAAAACACTGGACATTGTACGCTCTGCCGTTACTATATCATAACCACAGAACAAAATTCATCAATTGGAATTTGTGGAAATTTATGTTACCATAGGGTTATTAACCATTGACGGTTTGTGTCTACGCTACAAACAGTCTCTTTAGGCAATTAGCCACTCATTATTTGTGTTTATGTTATAAAAGAACACAAGGCGCTCTCTAAAGGCAATTATGTGAACTAAAATGAACTATATCACTCAAATGTCCATATTTACCCTACTAGTGGAATAATAAGAAATCATAGAATGACAAGTTTTGATTGGGATGTACAATTGATTCAAATTCTCTTCTTGTTTTTTTCGTATTATCTCCGAAAACTTGAGGCAAATAAACTGCGGAGTACTAATCTGTATTCGTCGTTCAACGTTTGTCATGCGGAACATTTGTCAAATGACTATGGGTTTTACAGGAAAAATTTGCTTCCAAATTTCTATTCGATAGTTGAGTTTTCGAGCTCAAACCATATAATGATTTTTGAAAAAGCTCCTTAAACATTCACAGTTTTCAGCCTACAAAGGAAATTAGCGTAATTTTGTTTTATAAACCTGAGCGTATGAAATTAGTTCTTAAATAATACTACTGATTTTTTTTATATTTTTTTATTTTATCAAAGTTTTATTTAACAGAATTGCAGATATATTACTTAAATTTTCAACAGCTAAAAAATACAAAAAAAATCTAAATTTCGAAATCCAATATTAATGTCATAACTTTTCTTTATAATTTTCTTAAAAAATTATTCAATAAATATATAGATGGTCCATGCTTGTTGGTGGTATTATTTCTCGAAATTCACAGAGTTCATGGATACGGTAAGTAAAAGAAAATTAATTTATTTTCTATGTGTATATTAAATTATATTATTTTCTTCTCTAGATATTCTTTGTTTTGCGCAAAAAAGAAAGTCAAATCACCACTCTGCACGTTATCCATCACGGTTGTATGCCCATGTCCGTTTGGTTCGGTGTTAAATTCACACCCGGCGGCCACAGTACCTTCTTCGGTTTGCTCAATACCTTCGTACACATTATTATGTACACCTATTATATGTTCTCGGCCATGGGTCCCAAATTCCAGAAATATTTGTGGTGGAAGAAATATTTGACAACTTTGCAAATGGTAAATATTCGAAAGGGGACATTTTCATAGTGGGATTTTTCTAATATATTTCTCTCTCTCTCTCTTTCGAATTTAGGTGCAATTCATTTTGATCATGGTCCATGCCTTCCAATTGTTGTTCATTGAATGTAATTATCCCAAAGCCTTTGTCTGGTGGATCGGTATGCATGCCGTTATGTTCTTCTTCTTGTTCAATGAATTCTACAAACAAGCCTACAAAGGACGTAAATCGGTATGTATAAATTTTCTCCATTATTTTTAATTTTTTGGTAGAAAATTGTTTAGTTTTTTCATAATGTTTGTAAGGAAATTAAAATTAATCGAACAAGATTATAATTAAGAAGCAACTAAAGATTATCAGTTACATTAGTTAGGGGTTTACATCCATTGTAATAAAATCCATTTGTGATGACAATGCCCTACAATGTATATAACCTCAATTGTTCTTCAACTGTTTGTTTTTAATTTATTGGCTTTTAATAATACTGTATTAATAAATCAAGACATTTATAATAATGTCACGATTTTGTTTCTAGTTTACATTGTGTATAACAATTTTTGTTTTTTTCATTATTTATTATAATTCATAGTAAAATAATTCGAATGATTTATTTCTTTCTTCGACAAAATAAAGTTTAACATCATTTCATTAGATATTCACTTTATTGTAATCTTGTTCGATTTATCATTATTAATAATAATTTCATATAGATATATTTGCATTATTAGTGATTCAAAAACAAAACAAACAAAAAAATTAATTGCAAAATTAAGACATTGCACATTCAAAATACCATTGCACCTGGTTGGGGAAAAATATATATTTCTTTTAATTTCTAACAAAAAAAAAATTACCAATAATACGCGTATTTCAATTAGCAACAAATTATGCACTTAACGTAATAAGTCACAAATGTGATGACATACGCCAGAACTCAAACCTTAATTTTAATAAAGCTTGGAGCTAAACTAAAAAAATAATTTCTTGGGACGTTTTTGTTTTTTGGCTCTGATAATATAATGCTCAAAGCCTTTCTCACAATGTTTAACCTAATAACACCTTACGAAATTTTCTTAATCGTAGATGATGTACGAGTCTGATTAAAACCTATTTTTCACTATTTAAACATTTTCAACAGACTTTTTTCATCTTGTTTGCTAACAGACCGTGTTTCGTAATTTCTTTTACATTCTCAATCGCAGAAAAAACGTCGTCGTTTTTTAAGCACCTTCATGGTTGTTGTGTCTGAGCGAGCGTAGACCACAATCGAGTTCATTACACTTGTTTTTACCGTGCTATAGGCTGTTGTTTCATATCCAAAATTTTTAAATTTACCAAAAACTCTGAGACGATATACTGTTGAGGATAAACTTAGGAAATAAATAACTAAAGGTTTTAAGATTTTTCCAACCCGACATAATTCTTCTCAAACGAGGAGTTGAATTATATAAATCTCATGTATGAACGAAGCTTTTATTAGCGAATTCAAACTATTAAAGTTAAGTATAAGTCACGAACAAACGTTTGGTTTGTGTCTACGCTAAAAGCAAACACGAGGCGCACTCTAAAGGCAATTGTCTGAAATAAAATGAAACACATCACTCGAATTCCCCTATTTATCCTATTATTCGAATAATAAGGAATCATTGAATGTCAAGTGAAAGATTTACTACAGACGATCTATCAATTTCATATTTTGTCCGGTCAGCTCGTTGATTAGGATGCACAATTCATTCGACTATGCTTCTATGTTTTTTCTTATTTTCTCCGAAGACTTGGCGCCCTCGTCAATATTCGAGGTCTGATCAAATGGTATTTTTCACTATATAAACTTTTCTTTTTAGTTCATTAAAAAAGCAAATGAGAAAATTTGTTCATTTTAGTTCAAATGTGAGGAGCTTTTTACTGACCTAGTTCGATTTGGTCTAAAAAAAAGCGAAGCCAATCGCGTTTTTTTTTGCATCTGATGTTAATTTTAAATTCTTCTGAAACTATTGTTTGCCATATAGTTTCATAACATGTATGACATTCCATTCCTCCAAGAAACTATAAACTGCGATGAACTATCTAAAAAACCGATCGAACTAAAACCAGAGCTGAATAATAGCTTAATTGCGAACGATTGAACTATAAGACCGACCAAGTTCACTCAAAAGAGCGGAACTAAAAAGGGCGATCAGACAACTTATCTAGATGGAACAACTCTAGTATTTATGAAGATTTCCTCAAAGATCAAAACAAGGCCTTTAAATAAAATCGTCCAGGGAGATCAGCTGCCTCTCAAGTTACTGTCAAAATCTATTATTGTGAATTGAACTTCCATTACGAAAACGCAAAAAGAAGGCCAAATTTTTGAAATTTGACTTGAGAAGAATCAGCTGACTTTCGCCGGCCTTATTAATGGATCTTACATTAAATCTTTTAGACTTATCAATACAAAAAGTCGATTGACTTATCCCTATAATTAAGTTATTGTTGAATTATGAGAATGTACTTACAGGGATGATCTTTATACAAAAAAGTTAGAACCAATAACCATTCATTGGAAATTAAATTTTTTTGAAAATTTCCAGTTTTGTATGTTATGACCTCTTAAATGTGTTTACGATCTAATTTAATTTGTTAGTAAATTAATTCTTCATGTCACTGTAAATAACACAACACATGGACGTACGTCGAATCGTACGTGTGTACGTTTTTGCTGTACTTAGTGTTGCATATTGCCTGCTGGTCCCCAATAACAAACCGGCCGCAATATCAAATTCTAACACAGGAACAAAGCTATTGCTATTTTTCTTGCTAAATTGAAACCTCAAAAACAATTTTTTTTAATTATCGATTTCACTCCATTTGATTTTATTAGCTGAATATAAAAAAAAAACTATTCAAATTCAACAAAAATATAAAATCAATTAATTTCTCAATAAGCCAAATGATTTATGATAAGAAATAAATCAATGTGCATCAATTCAGCTAGCTGAAAAATGTTCGCATAATGTTCAATAATTGACGAGGTCAAATTTGAAATTCAGTCACTCTCTTTAAAATATATTGAAATGGCTTAATTCCTTTCACATGCGTAATACGACAGTTCGATATAATATAATATTAACTGAAAAAATAGTATTTTTCTTTACATTATTAGATGGACAAATTAGAGAAAAATTAAATTTGTTTCGTCATCACATTAGTATTTGTTTTCGAACCACCCTTTAGAAATAATCCATTTCATTTTTACACTTGTAGATTTTGTGTAATAGTTGGTAACCATAAAATTACACTCGTTTTTGTTGTTGACAGCAATGCATTAGAATTGAAAAAATAATTTCAATTTCGATCAAGTTTTTAGAATAACATTATTAATTATATAAAAATTATTTATATTCCATACAAATGTATTTCCCAAAATAAATAAATCTCATAACTTTTTCTTATAATATTTCCAAATCACTTCCATTTATCGAAAGTCAAATGCCATAATATAATATTAGGGTCAAACTTAATTAAATAGCCATAGAGGGACTGCAACGAAATTAAAACTATTTTCTAATATTTTGTTGTTGTTTTTTGGTATTTCTTGTCATCACCTTATATGAATGCATGGTGTCGTCACTGTTATGGGCCAATGGAGGGGGCATTTTGTTGTTGGTTTACAACAAAAATTCATTGACATTGATTTTGTCTGCATACATATTTTGTCGTACCTTAAACACCATACAACAGCCATGGCAACATCTAACAGTACTCACACACATACACACTGATAGCAATATCTCAATGGTAGGGGGATTTTTATTTTTAATTTGGACTCCAATGTATTGGCCCATTCAGTCAGTCATGAATGGAGCGCCATACAACTAAAAATAACCCTATTCAAATAATTTTTTTTCCTTTTTTTCAAAATTGAATTCAAACTGAGCCACCAAAATGTTTGCTTTCATTTTGTATTTCTTTTTCGCTCTTTGAGTTTTTTCTTCTTGAATTTACCGGCAAGGCGGCACGTTGGCTTCAAACGAAGAAATATGGGTCTTGGGGTTTGTAGTGTTTTACCATATTTCACTTTGTCTAACTGTTTTTTTTTTCGGAGCAGTAACGTTGCACAGTGTCTTGCGGATGAATATTTTTGATATCTTAAATCATTTTGATTTACCAGTATTTCAAAATTCTCTTTACAATAATATTTTTGTTGTAATCTGTAGACTGTCATAGAGAAGACTGATACAGCCTACGCTGAATAGTTATATCTCTGTCGACGTAGACGTCGTCGACATTTGTTTCTTTGGTTACTATTGTTGTTGTCGTCATCATCACTACGACCATCTTGAGTAACAAAACAAGTGAAAGTTTAACTGAAGAAACAAAAATTAACAGAAATCCATGAATAAAAAATAACCGTATATTCGTCTCACACACTGATCCATAGATGGTCAAGACGTACAGCATCGAACATAACACCAAGCGCCGTCAAAAATAAAAACCATTAACATACAAAACTGAACACCAAAATTACATAATAATCGTAATGATGATAGGTTTTCTTGACTAAAGTCGTTGATCATTGGATAGTTTTGGTGGCTGGTTGGTGGATAGCCAGTCATCCACCAGATGACTACGATTACAAATACAGACGATTACACAAACAATTTTGTTTTCTTAGAGGCTTTTTTGGCATCGATTTTTGTTTCTCCCTCTATTTACATATTTAAAACAAATTGCTAACTAATGGATGTCATAAGAGAGAGGGAGAGAGAAATGTTTAAAACGAGAGAAAATCAAGTTTTTAAAGCAAAAAAAAAAAATCACCTGAACAACTGAGGAAATAGCTATTCAAATTTTTATTGAAAAAGTAGAAAATATTCGGAGAATAATTATTTGTTGCTAAATGGCTAATTCAGGGGATTAACAGCTGTGCGACTACTACACAAATATTTAATTAAAATAAATTCCAAATATTGTGAGAAATTTGAATTTTTTTAGTAGAAAATATATAATCATGAACTGAAATTTAAAAATACAACTCGAATTAAATTAATAGGAGTATGAATATTGATTTATAAGTAGCTGAATGCTCGGGTTGTTATAAAGGAGCTCACATATCTCTACGATGGTCTGCAACAATATTCATGCTTGAACTAAACCCCCCGATCTGGGAAATTCAGTTTTGAAAAATATGCATAATTTTAATTTAGGAACACCACAATGAAGACTAATTTAAATTAGATTGTAAAATATGAAATATTTGAATGTATTTCATATTTACAATCTATCTATTTTACAATCTGTAACAGAGAATCTCCCGAAACGCGAAAGATGTTTTTTGCTGAATATGGGAATTCACTATTAGCTGTCTTCTCAAATAAAGTGAAAATATTCTCAATTCGGAAATTTAAATAAACGTGTTCAAACTCCAAAAGAAAATATGCAAAGTTACGTTATTTTTAATTGCTGAATATGTAAAATCGGTTAAATTCGACAATTGAGCTAGCTGAATAGTACCTTTGTGATCGGTATAAAATCATAAATCAATGAATTCAACTAGCGTCGATATATTCGACCTACAATATCTCAATATTTGATTTAACAGAGCCTGTTGCGATATTCTTTATACTTATTTGAAGATATTCTAAAGTTGGGAATTTGGCTTCATAAAAATATACTTCATATATAGAAAACTTCCAAAAAAGTTATAAAACCTGCTGAATTAAAAATACTATATTTTTTGTTATCTGAATATAGTTTTATTTATATTATTGTCGAAACCTGTGATTAATTATAAATTTGGGAATTCAGCTAGCTGAAATTTATAACTCAGCAATCTTTTTTTGGAAAATGTTTTCTTTACGTATTTAATTCTTATTTATTTTATTTGCTGAATATGAAAAATAATTGAAATTCAGCAAGGTGAAAATTTACTGTTTTCACGTTTCCATTCATTTTCCAATAAATCTAATGTTTAATGGCACTTGCACAAAATTCAGCTAACTGAATATGTTCTAATTTATTTATTTTTTTTTATTGTTTCACTTATCATTTGGTAAGTTTTATATACAATTTTGAAATTCAGCCAACTCAATAGGCTTTCTATTATTTATGATATTTCTCTTTTAAATGCAATTCAGCTAGCTAAATTGGACTGATTACTACCCTAGACTAGATTGTTTCAAATTTAAATTTATTTAGTATTGTGCTGATCTGAGCACCTTATTTCGCCCGGAGACCATTTTTAATTTTTTTTATGTAAATACTTTAAATTTTAAAATTCAGCTGGCTGAATAGCCATAATTATGGTTCTAGTTATTTTGAAAATATTTTAAATTAAATTGTTCATATATTACATGATATTCAGCTAGCTGAATTGAGCTGATAACTCCCCCAGTCCATTGTGATTATAATGATTGTTTTAAAGTAAATATTTAATATATAAAACGTTTAATAATTAAAAAACTATGCTAGCTGAATTGTGTTTATAATACCCCAAGACCAGTGTACAATGATTAGTAATGAATGTTTTATGACGTTTACAGAAATTCAGCTAGCTGAATGTTGCTAATAATACTCATAAACTTCTTTAAATATTTTTGTTTCGCATAAAACATATCGAAGAGTTTTCGAATATTTAAATACGACAACGACAATTAATAAACTCTCCAAAAATAATGGCATGGGTTTGAGCGAGCGCAATTATCGATGAGATTTTGTTTTATTTTCAAAAAAGAAAAGAAATAAAAATACAGCACAACCCTTCCATTAGTTCTTGGAAACCCCATAAATATTGAATTTTAAATCGTGTTGTCTTAATAAATCAAAACTATATTGAAACTCGGAAATAAATAAAAAAATCAATTGAAACCGAATCCAATTGATATTTTTTTATTAATTAAATAATGCAAATATCTTTGTTACTTTTTTTTAATATTTCCTTTCATACATGCGACATATTATCTTCTGTGTTGTTGTTTTTATATTTCATGTAGTTGTATTTCTAACATTTTTTTACTCAAAAAATAACATTAATGGTAATCATCCAAAAAAATATTCTACTTTTATGTGCGCTCGCTCCATCTTCAACCAACAAAAAAACCACACCATCCATTTGTGACAAAATGTGTTTGCCGCTACCTCCTACTCCACTACAACGTAACGTATCATCGACGTAAATTTAATGCCAAACAAAAAAATAATAATAATACGAAAAATACTACGCTTGCTAATTTGTTGTAATGTAAAACCACCAAACGTAAATTCTTTTTCATTGTTAATAATGGTATAACAATCATTGTTGTTGTTGTTATTGCAATTTAATTTGAATTATTTAGCAATACAAGAATTTATTAATGTTCTGTTTGCAGCGTCCCGAAAAATTCCAGAAGGAAGATGCCCCCCTCTTGGCCAACGGCCATGCCAATGGCGATTGTCAGACAACGGAAAAGAAGCTCTTGAATGGACATGCCAATGGCAAACTTCTGGCCAATGGCAGCAGTGCGAAATCCTCAAATGGCTACACCAGCAGCAATGGTTACAAGAATGGCGCCGTGCTGGCCAATGGCGTCAACGGTCACACAACAGAGCTGACGCAGCGGAAGGTGAAATAATACAAGGCCAAAAATGGCAAACGTAAAATGCTAAAAAAGAAATTGGACATTTAATCTTCTATATAGTAATCTACAAAAACAAAACAAAAAAAGAGCTAAGAGACCGATCGCTAGAAAATCAATTGGAACGAAACTTCATTGCAATAATATTCTAATATTACAACAAAAAATAATATACAACAACACCTAAAAGAAAAACTATTGTTTTGTAGTCTAGACAAAAGAAAATGTAAACGAAAAAACCAAAAGGGATCTCCTAACTTCAGGCCGGACCGCGACATTACATTGTATGATGCTGTTTGGTGTGAGTCTGAAGAGTCTAAAATCCCGTCGAATTCTACATTAGCTGAATAGTTGAAAAAGACAAAGAAAAGTCAAAAAACAAAACGTTGTATTAAACTAAAGATTTCTATACAATTTACAAACAACAAAAAAAAAACAATTTTTGTGATGTATTTTTCTTTTTATAAAAACATATTTTTTGTGTAAATTTTCAAAAAAAAAACCAAAAAAAAATAGTTCCATAATATTTACAAAGCAGACAAAAAAACAGAAGCAACAACAAAAACAATACACACAAAATAAACCAAAAACAATAAGAATTATAACACTGTACAATATTATATTAAAAAAAATAAATACAATTTTGAAAAATGTGAATCAAAAAGTGAGGTTATGTTCATAAATTTTCTTTAACATTATATTTAAAAAACATTAAATAAAGTCTTACAAAATTAAAGAAAAACATTTATCATAACCTCACTTCCCAAAATAATTCTACAGCACAGTGTCATAATTCTTTTTGAAATTTAAAAAACGGTTGGTTTTCCTATAAACTCTGGTTCTTTTTCTACGTTGGTCTTAAGTTAAAAAATCACACACACACAGTTTTATACAATGTTATATATAAACAATTAATTATTTTTGTTATAATTATTTTTTTCATTCTTTTGTTCTTTACAAAAACAAATTCATACAAAAACCAACAAATCTTTATAAAAAAAATTTTGTAGCTTTTTAAAGTAAAAAAATAATCGCTTTAGTTGTACAAATTAAAAGAAAACAAAAGAAAAAACAAAAATAAATTACAAAAAATACGAAGTCGAAGTCGCAAAGAGAAGGTTTATATAGTTTAAAATATAAATTAATTTAATTAAAAAAACAACAAATGTATAAACTATTTAATATATATATATATAACTTAAAAACAAAAAATACATAATAATATTATTATAAACAAACTATATTTAAAACAAAACAAAAAAAAATTAAATTTATTGTGAGGTTATGTTATTATATATAGGTAATAATAAATATAAAAAACAAATCGTATCTTTTTTAATTAATTAATTAATAATTTTGTATAAAAAACAAAAATGTTATGTTTAATTAAATTAAATCGAGTCATGCTTTAGCAAAACAAAAAAAAACAAATAAACGAAAAAAAAACACAAAAAACAAAGAAATTTGAATTCATTTAAAACGAAAAAAAAAAACAAATCAAAAACGAAACTCCTGTCACAAAATCAAAAATAGTTTCCCCGCAAAAAATAAGAACAAAATTGATAGGGTATATTGAAGCAAATTTTCCACTTATAAATTACAGAATATAATTTCCATGATAAAACTTTTCAAAAAAAACTCAAATTCCGTTGTAAAACATTTCAAAAAATCAAATTCCTTTTGCAACACACCTCAAAAGACGTTAATTTCTTATTTCATTTTCACTCCCTGTCCAATTCATTCACAATAGTCGTAGCAATGCAGCCAATTGTTATGATTTTGTAGCATATTTTCAGGCGTTGCAAGTCTTTGAATTTCTTAAACACAACAAAATAAATAAAATCTAAAGCAACAATAATAGATAGACATGGCTATAAATAGATAACAAAAAAAAAATAAATAAAACAACAAAACCTAATGGAGAATTGTATTTATTTTTTAAGTCTACAATAATAATTAATAATAATAGTTATTATTATAAATACAAATTAGCACCTAAGTTTTGTAGTACGTCTATACATACTTCAATACAAGGCCACAGTCACACATTTACACAGATCTTTACAAAAATCCAAACACAACAAAACTCCCTCCCTCCCTACCATACTTCTATAAAACAACTCTTTACAAACAACAACAAATATATTAATTATAAATATATATATTTACATCATACTGCTATGGTAATCATAATATGTGTTATAATATTTAATAATAATTTAATAACATTTTTTGTGTATAAAGTAATACATACATAATACCAAACTGGGCGTTAAGGAAGTTGAACATATTTTTTTCAAATACAACAAAAAAAAAAACAATAAGAAAAATCGAAAATAAAATAAAAAACAACAACAAAATAATATCTAAAAATTCAAAAATGTGAAATGCGTTTTATTTTTAAATGACTTCCAAAAATTGGATACATATAAATGAGGTGGCCATACGTCCTCTTTTTAAGAGGACAATCATCTATTTTAACTGGCTGTCATCTATAAATTGAAATTTCAGTGAAGTAGGTATTGTTGGTATTTTAGACACACTTTCCAAGAGAATTATGGATTGAAAAATGTCTTTGGGAAACATAGTCGGCACAGGTTTGCTTCAAAGTTCCTTATATAAAGATCACAAGATTATTCGCTTGAGACCAACAATTTAGCACGGTCGTAATTAACGACTTTTAACCCAATCGATTTATTATCGATACACATAAAAACTACAAATTCTCCCCTTACCAATAGTGAACGTTTCATAATACATGCATTCATTACTGAGATATAACCATTTGAAGTTGATGTTATGTCAAAATATAGCTTCTAGCTATTCTATCTGCCAATAGGTGGTATTTTATCCTTCGAAGTCTGTAATATTAAATTACAAGCACTTTGATTGTAAAATCGGTGAATGGGAACAGCATTTTACCAATTGAAATGATGTCAGATTGGTAAACTTGCACAGCAAATTTCCTTAATAGCCCTAATTTTTCTTAAAATGAATTCTTTTCCAATGACAACAAACATTCAACAACAATCTAATATCAACATTTTCTCAAATGCACCAATTTCCAGCCATTCAAAGCTAATTTAACGTTTTTGCAAACGATCATGATTTTCATAGTTCTCCGTTGTGAAAATGCTTGTTTATCGATACACATACAAACTAAACAATCACCTCTAACCAACGGTAAAAGTTATATGTCGATAGGTATATTCATTACTGAGTTATAGCCATTTCAAATTGACCTTGTGTCAAAATATAGCGGCTACACGATTCTGTTGGCCTGGTACCTCAAATGGAAAAATGTTTGAAATTGGCATTTTCACAAAAGCGAAAAAGTAAAAAACAACAGCATCATTGCCACATTGTTCGATTTTTCTTTGATTTGATGGTTGGTTTACAAATTCTAAGCATACTTTCAGGCGCATCATTTAAAATTATATCCATTTGAAAGTTATATGGTTCTTGATTTTAATATAACGCCTAAAAGTATGCTCAGAATTTATAAACTAACATTAAAACACTATGGTGGCGATCTGGTAACATTGCAGTATTTTATATTTTTGCCCATGTGAGATTTCTTCATTTTTCCAATTTGAGGTACCAGGCCAACAGAATCGTGTAGCCGCTATATTTTAACATAATGTCAACTTCAAATGGCTATAACTCAGTAATAAATGAACGTATTGACATAAAACTTTTACCGTTGGTTAGGGGAGATTGTGTAGTTGTTATGTGCATCGATAAACACGTACTTTCACAACGGAGAACTGTGAAAATCATGATCGTTTTCAAAAACGTTAAATTAGCTTTGAATGGCTGGAAATTAGTGTATTTGAAAAAAATTTGGTATTGCTGAATACTTGTTGTCATTGGAAAATAATTAATTTTGAGAAATAATAGGGCTATTAAGGACATTTGTAGGAAATAAAAAAAAACATGTTGTGGTGCAAGTTTAGCAATTTTACATCATTTCAATTGGTAAAATGCTGTTCCCATTCACCGATTTTCCAATCAAAGTGGTTGTAATTTAAATTACAGGCTTCGAAGGATAAATACCACCTCTTGGCAGATAGAATCGCTAGCAGCTCTATTTTGACACAACATCAACTTCAAATGGTTATATCTCAGTAATGAATGCATTTTTGGCATGCAATTTTGAATATAATGTTAGGAGATAATTTGTAGTTTTTATGTGTATACATATATATATTACATTTGGTCTGCTCACGTACTGCAAGAATCTACTAAATTTTTCTATTTTCTCCGATATCATAAAGGAAAATTCGTTATCGTAGTAAAAATTAGTAGATTCTTGCAGTACGGGAACAGACCAATTTATAAAATTAATAATTAACAAAATTAACTGCTGTTGAAGTTTAGAATTAAGGAATTTAATTGGTTTTTGTTCAAAAATAAGGATAATTGAGGGAATATCAAGGACATAAGGGACAAATGCTGCAGTAGAAGTTCAAGTACTATACGTCATGAGTCGTTGTAAAATATCAATACAATTTATAATAATAATATATTTTAAATATGGGGTCCTCAATATGTTTTATATATGCATGTACTTTTTTAGAATAAAATTGTATGCCGATTTTGACATGTCCGCCTGTCTATGCGCCCGACCGTCTGTTTGTCCGCTTGTCTGTTGAAATCACGATAGAGCTCTCAATGTTTAAGATAGAGATTTGAAATTTTAACAATTTTCAGAGTTCCAGTTCCAGCAAACACAGTTCTTGACACACTCAAATTTAAAATAAAACGTAACTATATACCAAATATGTAATTATACTTGCCAAATGAATTTCTAATCACAACCAATAAAAACACGACAAAACTATTATGTATTGCTAAACGTATAGGAATATCTCACTCGTTGTATTTTATTTTTCGTGAAAAATATAGATAATTAAATAGTAAATTTAAAATAAGCTAAAATTAAAAAATCTACTAACACTACAGCTCAAATTTAAAACACAAAACAATTTTGATTCTATAAAAAATATATCTAAAATTAAACATTTTCTTGAAGTTGATTCATGTTTCCAATTAAAAAAAAAAAATAAAACAAATATTATGGCCAATAACTTTAGCATTAGCCTTTACAGTAGAGGGAATATAGTTAAGATTGCCACAATGGATGCTTACAGACTAAAATCTAAAAAGTATTTATATTATGAATCATATTTTTACTATATCATGGATTGAATGCAAATCGATTCAGTTATTATTTATGTATGCTAACATAAAATTAAAATATCAATGCGGTGGAAATGAATATATCTGGTATTGAAACTATGTATGCAAATGTTGAAAATGTTCAGTTCATGGAACGGGGTCGTTTTAAATAAAATTCTATCATATTATCAATATCAGTTATAGTCTTTTTAGATTTTTTAATATTCGAATCCAATACACGTAAATTACTTGTGTAATCGGGTAGTTTATTTAGTGTCTGTGCCATTTCGCGAGCCAATTTTTTGGCCCGCTGTGCCAAAGAAACAGGATTGCGTTTAACACCTTTGCGTAGGAAAATATTTTGCAACTTATGATCGTGTAATTCACCAAAATCAAGAACTTCCCAGTCACCCGTCGACATATTCCAGGTGAAGAGAACCCGACATTCATATTGACGACGATGAAAGGCGCAATTTAATTTTCGTGAGCAATTCAGGCAGGATGTTACTTCTTCGCGAGCTGAAAAATGTGCCATTAGTAGGCAAAATAGCGTCTGCGACAGGGGACAAACCTGTAAGGAGAACCATGGGACATTAAAATAGATCGCATTACTATTATAAGACAATATATCATACATACATTTATCAATTCATATGCCCAATCGTAAAAGAAGTCATAGATTTTCTGATTTTTCTGACACAATGTACTTATGACATAGTACGTGAATGTTTCCATATCAAATGAATGCTGTTCTATGACCACACTTGTACAGCGCAAATGTTGAAATGAAGCCTTCGATATCATTTGCATTTCAGAATAGCACGAACCATGTACCTCGACTGGTAACAGCGTATGGTAGCCTGGAGAAATGCAATCATCTGAAAATGGAAATTGAATACAAATATTAAAATATGTGGGAGGAAAACAGAATATTTTCCAAAAATGCATTTTTATTATTCAATATGATGTTCTGCAATTCTTATACGACATCGTGAAAAGTCTAAATGCTTAACCATACGGCCACAGATCAACTTTTGGACTCATATGTGTGGATTTAATAGTTGTGTATATTTACCTTCTTCACTTGTTATAACCGATGCAGCATCATCCTCTTCAACATAACGTCGTTGAAATCTCTTCGTACATACAGGCTTTTCGGCCGCACCACCTTGCAGTGGAACTTCAAAGGATCGTATTTCATCGCGACGTGGCGACAAAAATGGATGTTGATAGTTTGGTGATATTGAACCACCTCGGTCTAAATGCGAACGTTTTGCAACCGACAACTGCAGTGGCAGCAGCGTACCATGGGGCTTATAACTCAACATGTGTTGAGTTGCAGTTGAGAGACTATAATGCGGGGGTGATTTGTGATTGTAATAATTATTGCTCACCAAGTGGCGACTCGGCGAGCGCATAACGGACGAACCACCTCCACCGCTAATATTGCTACCGTTACCACCAGCACCACTGTATGTCGGTGTTATAAGACCCGATGTCGAAGGGGGAGATCGAAAGCCCAGTGGCGATGTACAGCTGTGGCGTAAAGGAGACAATGCTGAAGGCGGCACATAATGACCATAGCTACTCACATTTGAGCTATGAGGATGTGGTGATGAAGATGGCGAGGCATATGGCGAGTGATTGCTATGTAGATGTGTTCGAGTGTGTCGTGGTGAATGACTGCCTGTGCTTGTGTTGCTCATTAAGGAACTAAATGTATTCGAAGCTGATGTTCTAGACTTTGTATAGGGTATAATGTTCTCCGAATTATCCTCGGAGAATTCATATTTCCTTTCTGCCAAACGTCGTTTTCGTAGTATGGATATTTTTTCACACTTTTCATTTTCCTCACAAAATTCATAGGTTGATGCACGATCATTGCTCGTCGAATTATTGGCACTTGAAGTGCCACTTGTAGATGAATTGGGCGAAATGGTGTGGGTGGTTGTTATGCCAGTCGATGAAAAGAACATGGAGACACCTTTGCGGAATGATTTTGACACAATGCGATGTCTACGCCTAGGACTGTTCTGAAATGGAGGTGAAGTGTTAGTTTTCATTGTACTACCCGACGTTACAGCTGACGGCGATGATGATGTGTTTTGTGTGGGTGGTGTTGTATTTGTCATTGCAGAAGAAATGGCATTGACACGACTAGATACGTTCGGACTACAGGAAAGAACGATTTCTTCGCCAGTCTTTTGGCTCAATGTCACATGAGATATTGGAGATTCTGGATAGGTTAACGTTGAGGTTGGCGATTTTAAACTCATTGACGTCAACTGTTGTGGTGTTGTTGTTATGGCAATACCACTTCCAGAATGTGTTGAATCAGTCTCTATATCAGGAAAATCCTCTATTATCCGATTTACAACATTATTCTGAGAGCTAATTGTCGTTTGACTATCTACACTGAAATTATCCGCCTCGGCATTGGGTGTGAATATGACAGGAGTATTGCGTTTCTCCAACTGTTGTTGTGGACTCAACTCGCCGAGATGTGTTGGTGTCGATGAGCCGGCACATGTTGGTTTCATCATTAACACAGTTATCATATTTTGTTGTTGCTGCTGATTTTGTATATTGACTACAGCGGCCTGTTGTTCTTTTGGTGGTTGCTCCAAACGAATGTGAAGCATATGGAAGAATCCATTGGCAATAATTAGTATACGTTCTGGGCAAATAAGATGCATATATGGATCGAATTTACAGTTCGATTCGTTAGGTGTATACTTTGTGTGTACGGTTAGATTACATTTAATGCAGAGGACATTTCGGCGGAAAACTGGAAATAAAGGGAGGATATAAAAGCAGAGTTAGAATATTATTGAATATGAATATCTAAAAAGGTTTTAATAATGTGCATGAGTCGGTAAGATATTGGAGTCTGTGAAATATAACTGAATGTTTTTTGAACGTGAGTTGTGTAAGACGAGTAGTTGGTAAAAGTTCTCAATATGTCGGTAATCAATCATAGAAAATAAGGGGTATTTACTGAAGCTGGATTAAAGCAAGGTAAAAATATGCTAATTCAGGAGACATTCTAAGATGTTGGGAATAATTTTCTCTAATCAAGATTCAAACGTCGTAGTTTTGTACAGCGAAACTGGGAGCTACATAAAGTTTGGAGTTTTATCCTGATGTGCATATAAACTGGGGTCACTATATTGCGTTGCATTTTGATAACATTTGTTTTTAAAGTGATGTATGAAAGCTATGGCGTAATGTTGAGAAGACATACGGCGGTACATAATGGCCATTGAATGTCGACGAAATCTCTGATATATAATTACAAGATTCAAGAATATCTTTAATTTGTTGTGTGTCACGAGGAAACCGTGTACTATTTAGATGAGGACACGATGTTTTCCCTTATGTCAGTATAGCAATACGGGCTTAAGTATAATATTGGGTCCGGTAATGTATTTTGAAATTTTTACCATATTCTTTAAGGCCATGATTACAATGGTATGAATTATTGTGGAGATCTTTTTAAATTAAAATCTATAGAAAGTCCTGCTTACAAAACGTAATTATCGAAGACGTCCATTCTTCCTGAGATATATATATATATATATACGGTAAACATTTCAAAACGATCCGCTAGATTTGTACTGCAATAGACTTTCTGATAATATAATTTTTGTGGAATCAGTTCAGCATTTAACGTTTCTCTATTATTCTGTACACTCCAACTGAGAATGGAGAATTCTTTGTCTTTGTCGCCTAACGGTAAGATTTTCTTGTAATACATGATTTAAAAATGGTAATTATTGTACATTTTTTTGTAATATTTGCAATACTTACATCCTTCCTCCTCCTCAGAGTCTCTTTGTTTTCTACACTCTAAACAGCCCAATTTAGGAACTTTAATATATGATATATAAGAGTCTTCGTTTTCTTCCTCGGAAGCACCATGCACTATTAATATACGAGGATCAGTGTTCTTCCATTGAATCATGCTGACTTCCTTTATATTATCCACACCGTGATCATCAAAAAGGCAACACTGATAGAAGATTCGTAGAGGTTTGTGCGGTTGAAAAATCCAAAAAAATAATCTGTCAGGGAAAAAACAAACAAATTTAGATACACTTCCATGCTCATAGCAACCAATACTTACGTGTATTTGTAACCAATATTGAAAGAATAGTGGCTAGCGTTAGGTGCACTCTCACTTGAAGTTACCTTGTAGCTTAAGAGGAATTGTCCACAGGCTGATAGACCCATAAACATGTGGCTATAATAATAATAGGGAATAAGGATTAAAATATACATAGATAAATGAGACAACAACAATAACGGTAAAAACCACAACTCACCCCTGCAAGAAGCCTGCTGGAACTAAGTTTCTAAAGCAAAATCTTAGTCTTTTTGGCACGGTAGTAAACAAGGGTTTTGTATTTTGATAATAACCCCGATTGCCCATATACTTTAGGGGTAACAAACAAACAATTCACTTATTGCAATAAATAACAATAATCAATAATACTCCATAATAGATACTTACTTCTCTTTGTAAAAGTTTCCTGGCCAAATTACCCTGAGTACATTTATCGAAATCATCTCGCAAATTTCCACTGGTGGTTTGCATCACCTGAGCACCGCTGCTTGTCTGGCCATGACGAAAATATTGCCTTTGTAAATCCCCCAGCTCATCATCATCCATATCGGTTTCAGAGCTTTCGGCCATAGAGAACTCCTCGTCTTCTTCATCCTCTTCCGAAGAAGATAAATCAAGGTAACTATGGCTACCGCTGTGAATGCTGTGATCCATCTTTCAAGGTATGTGTATACCCCCACCACCACCACACTTCACTGTCTCAACCAACCAACAAACAAAATTGACAAATCCTATATAATAGGATACCACAGCCCTTTTTCCAATTCCTCCTCTTACACGCAACTTTCAGAGTATTTGTTGCAATTTTCCAATTGTTCAGCACATTTTAGAGTTTCCTTTTTTCTTCTTTCAGTTCTTAGTTTTACAAAAGAAATTGATTTTAATTCGATTTTTTTCTACTTTTGTCAAAGCAATGCAAATGAATTACTCTGCTTGCTTGCACCCTCCACTACAGCGACACACACAGCTTCACAAAAATACCGGAACGAACTAGTTCAATGGCACAATTCTCTGACAAGAATGATGAGAACTATTTGCAAATCACACGAATGGAAGAGGCAGAAGAGAATTAGGGATAAAACGAAAACAGGATAAAATGCTAGGCACTTCGCTATGTTTACGAATGAGTGTGATGGATAACGACAAAAAACATCAGCTGTTGATTGAACTTATTCCGTAAAATGAACGTGTGGAACTATTGTTGGCTTATAGTTCTACTTAATTCATTGAATAATAGTTATAAATGAATAATCTTAATATATAAAAGAGATTAGTTCGTGAATGACAGACGAAACGGCATAAGTAGAAGCTTGATACTGTGTAGGCGTGAGATAAAGCTGAATTTTTCGAAATTCGAACTAGAAGGGTACGAAAAGTTCTAAAATGAACTAAATAAGGTAACCTTTCTATTAGGGAAACGGAAGAGCTAGAATTCTGAAAATATGAATGTGGGTCACTGTAGGAAAGTTAGAAAGATGTGCAAAAGAGTTTGGAAATTAGACGTATTTGTGTACGAAAAGTACTAAACTGTACTAAATGTATTTCTATTGGTATATATATTGAACATATATAGCTAGTACTAAATTTGATACTATTTGCATTGATGTACCTGATTTAGGAAGCTTTCAAAGTACGAAAAGTACTAAATAGTACTAAATTTGGTAGAAGTTGGGGTTAAGTGAAGATATAGAGCTATATAGACGTATTTGTATACGAAAAGTACTAAATGTAGTTCTATTGGTATATATATTGAACATATATAGCTAGTACTAAATTTGATACTATTTGCATTGATGTACATGATTTAGGAAGCTTTAAAAGTACGAAAAGTACTAAATAGTACAAGTTGGGGTTAAGTGAACATATAGAGCTATAGTCCTGAATTTGGGTATTAAAATGAGTTTGGAAACTGCGTACTTATGGGTACGCAAAGTACAAAATGGTACTAAATTTAATATAATTTGTATACCAAATGGTACTAAGCCTGGTTAAACTTTTTAAAGGGATAGAAATGGAAACCTGAAATTTCAATCAAGTTTACCGCTAGAGTACATGCAGACATGGTGGTACGAACAGTACTGAGTTAAGTACAATTTGAATTTTTGGTACACGGATAGGTCTGGAAATCTGACATTTGAAATTTGGATTAATGTTGAAATGTAAGATTGAGCTATGGAGACTGCTTTGGAAATTCATATTTATGTGTACGAAAATTACTAAACGGCATTAAATTTGGTAAAGTAGCTTGAACGGAGACCTGGGACCCTAAAATTTGTAGAATTAGGATATGGGGGCATCGTACTTATGCGTGCTAAATGGTACTAAATTTGGTACAATTTGATTTTGTGTGTGCGGATAGAGCTGGATTCCAGATTTTTGGAATTACAATTACTTTTGGAGTGTATAATTGAGGAAATTCTTAATTATGGAAACAAAAAGTACTAAATCGTACCAAATATTGGGCTGAAATTCTGTAATTTGGAATTAAAACTAGTGTTGAAATGTAGAATTTAGAATTGGCTACGAAAAGTGCAGAAGGGTACAAATTTTGTTACAATTTTGATTTTGGTGAACCGATAGTGCTGGAATTCTTAAATTTTCGCATACGAAGTAGCGATTAAACGGCATTTACATTAGAACTTTTTACCGACTTATTCAACGTTTACATTGTACCAGATTTCGTTAACCCAATGGGTTTAAATTGCCAATTCTATTGTATAAATCATCATAAAGTAGGTTAACCGGATAACAAGTTCTAATGCAAATGCCGTGCTAACCTAATTTTATTGAGAATTTAGATTTACTGGATTAATATATATCGGGTACTATATTTTGAAGTTCATTTAAGACGCGTTTAGACTATACATTCTAAAACGAGCCGATTTGTTGATCGAGGTACCAAATTCTAGCTTTGAAATCATATAGAGTTTATATATTTTACTTTTTATTAAATACTAAAATATAAGAAATACAAAAAAATTAAATAAATATTTTAATAAATAGTATGAATTGCTAATGAAATAATAAATTATTATAAATGAGAAACATTTATTTTACTAAATGCTAAAAATCAGCTACTGTATAAGCCGAAGTTCCTTTAATATAGGAATAATCCTGAACACCAATCAATTTCACGATATGTTTATCGCATAAGGAAATACAAAGTGAATTTGTATACAAAAAATTACTAGAAATCACAAGAATAAAAGAGCTACACAAAAGAATAGAGATAAAGATCACAAACATTAACTCATTTAAGAGTTACCAAACTAAAAATTACAGTCTGTCCGTCCGTCACATCCAGTTGGTTCTAAATATTTTCATTTTTATTATCAATTCCATTAATGGTAGTTGTTGCAATATCTGTCACAGCATTTTCAATATTTTCAGTTGTGGTAAAATCCTCCAAATTATCTATAGTTGTGTGGGGAATTTCAGTTTGATCTACATAGCCGTGGAATGTGGTATCTATAATGCTATGCTGTGTTGTTATCGTTGAAGACACATCCGTCAGGTTGTCAGGATTTTGAGTGGAATGTAATTGATTGTGACGTTTTCTTTTCACATTTGCCAATGATAGCCAAATATTTTCACGTATTGGTTTCGGAATTTCAGCTGAGGGAGAACTATCCAAATTGATGTTTGGTACTTGCGGTGGTAGAGGTTCTTCTTCTTCTTTGTTTGATTCATAAATTACCCAATTGTCAGGTCTAAAAATTAGAAAAAAGGAATGTAAAATTAAAAATAGGTATAAGCCAAATTTAGACTATACAAGCAAATTGCAGAGAAAAATTCTGTTTGGAAGTTAACCTTGGAAATTTGATGAGTGAAATAACAACACATTTGTCATAGTTAAACCTTTTTTGTCCTATAACAAATCCGCTCATCATAGTTCTTATTACTTTAACCAAGGTCTCCCATACCAAAAACGAATTTTCAGCCCCTAAATATTGTTGCTCGATTTTTTATTCTAAAACTTACCTTTCTGGTTTGGTCAAAACTATTATCGGGGCAAAGGCAATCTTCTCCTTATTTTGTTTTAATACACTTAAACGTTTTTGATTCAAATCAAATACAGTGGGACTTTCATCAGTATTTATCTTTGAATCCTCCTCATCTTCCGGCTCCTCTTCGCTTTCCTCCAAATCCTCCGCAAATATATCATTATTTAATTTTTTACCTTCAGAATCAGGGAATGCTGTGGATCCCGCGGTGATATCCTCCAGTGGCTCATTTGTAGGTATATCTTCTGTACTATTCATCACAGGTAATACATAATTGTCATCCAATGTGAGGTTGGTAGATGCCTCAGCAGACACGCCCATTGGTAAAGTTTTATTAAAACTTTCCAACATTAGCTCCGGCCGTAGATAACCATCCCTATTAAATTTTCTTACCAAGGGGGAACTACCATAATCCTCGTACTCATATTCACTTTTATCAGCTACGGGATCGGGATCATCATAGGCAGTTATATTGAGAGCGGGATGACGGGTTCGACTCAAATAACCATAATCACCTAATTCTGGTTCGGCATAGTAAGACAGGTCCTCTTTTAGTTGAGGCCTTGTCTTTTTCCTTATGTAATAAGTTTGTGAATTGGAAGTGGAAAATGGACTGGGTAAACTTTCTCTGGGTGGTACTTGATATGGATTTTGTCCAGGTAATTCAGGTTTTTCGTTATACCAGGGTTTGGCAGCTGGTGCTGCAGCTAAGCCGTAAGAACTGACACCATCAATGCTGGGACGATTAATTTGTGTTTTATCCGGTTTGGGTCTGATATTAAAACTGAAAGTACTATCGGCTCCATTGGCACTGGCAAACCCGGTTATGCTACCATATGGACCATTACTTATGGCCTGACTGGTTGCTTGGACGACGCCACCATTTAATTGAGCCTGGCTAAAACTTGTGGCCGCTGCAGGTCTTTTATTTTGATAGTTCGATGGTAAAATTGGTCGCGACAAGACTCCATCATAACCAGGTCTTTCATTTGATTCCAATTCGCTGCTAGGTAAGGGTCTCGGTCCCCCGGAATTCCAACCTACTATGCTGTGTACAAATCCTGGCTGTTTGGTTGTATAGCCCAGGGCATGTTCGTCATGTTCATTGAGGAAAATAATTGTGGGTGGTTTGGTTCGTTGATTGTTGGCCAGTGGAGGAGATACTTGCGCAGGCGGCGCCTGATAATAGCCATAGAGGGGTGTGGTACTGGGGAAGGACCCAAAATGACTGGTATAACGATCATAGGGTTTAGTTTTATAGTTGGTGGTATAATCGACAACGGTACTTTCCAATGGAATAGGACTTTTATTCGTTTGCCGAATATTGATTTCAATTTCATATTGATTATCACCATTGGCCGCATCCACAATGACCTTGTGGGGTGGTTGTTTAGGATAGCCTGGTCTCTTCTGATATTGTCGCAGTTCAACATTACGTAGGGGTTTTGGTAATTTGGTAGTGGTAGTTCTATTGGTCAGTGAGTGACTGCTGTTGGTTTTCAGGGCCGTTTGAAGTGCAGCAAATTTAAGTTTTTCCTTTGGTTTTTCAGTTGTAGTGCCTGGCAATGTCAATTTGCGTTGAACCCTTTTGTGTTCGGTCGTTGGAGAATTCGCTAAGGGATCAATGTCAGAATCGTTTGAGGTTTGTGTAGCCATGGGGACAATTGTGGATTGTTCTTGGCCATTGGCAACATCCCTTTTGTGGGGTTCGGAATCCGAAGATACTTCTACCTGTTCATTCAAATTCGCACCAGTTGTATCACTATTTGTTTTCGTATCTGATTCATGAGAATTATTCTCTGTGGGCTTTATTTCGTTTCCAATTTCATTGACATCATTGTGCCCTGTCCTATCTTCTTCTTCTTTTCTGGAGTCGGTTTCACTTCTTCGTTGAACAATTCTATTATCAATTTGAACGTTATTCGATTCTTCAATGGTATTCAGTAATGGACTTTCCATGTTATTACTTCCACTCTCTGTTAGATCAAGGTCTCCAGACCTACTTTGAAGGTCCATTTCTTGGTTTGAGGAATTTTGTTCTTTCATAGGCGATGCTAGGTTGTCGACTTCATTATTTTCTAACGAAGTTATATGTGATGTCAGATCATCTGTTTTGGATTTCAGACTATCATTGGTATTCTCCTTCGGGTCTGTTGAAGGCTCTGCGCGGTCACCATTCTCAGTTGTTTTCGAAGTAAGTGCAGTTTCCTTTGTTAATGGCAAATCATCTGTACGGGACTCTAGCATAGTCTGATCCTCATCCATAACCCTCTGTTTTGTCAAATTTTCCTCCTTTCGCTTCTCATATTTCCCTTCGAAACGATTTCCCAATTCCAGTTCTTCGGTGCGAGATTCTAACTTATCATCGGTAAATGTATCCACCGAACTTTCTGTACGTGATTCCAATTTCTCCTGCTCAACATTATTATCCCCGCTAGACTCCTCAACTGCGGTCAAATTTCCATCATTTGTTCTCACCTCTTCCGCACGAGATTCCAACTTGTCACCACGTTTAATTACTACCTCTTGACCGGCATTACGCAGCTCTATGGGTATATTATTTACAATTATGGTTCTACGAGTTGTGCTCTGTACCGAACCATGTCGATGCGAACCCTTTCGTGAGTTTTTATCCAATTTATTGTTGACACCAGGTACTGGCTTTTGTTTGGTCACATGTCCCGCTGCCACCCCTTTCCTCTTTAAATCCAATTTATCATTGATTTTCGTAGTGTTTTTAAATCTCTGGGCCATTGTACTTCCCGAACTGGAGGGTGATATGAAAGGAGGATGCCTGGTAGCTGAAGGGGGTAGTTGATTAAGGAATCCCACTTTGTTGTCGGTCAAAAAGTCTTGCGGTATGGGTGCATTACTTTGTAGTTCACCTTGGACAATTTCGAAAATACGATCCAAAACGGGAGGCTGGAATGTTGTGGGCATGGGCGTTGCGGAAGGTGGCATGGCTGGGGGTTGTTCTGGTGGTGGCAAAGGCGGTTGAGGTAATTGTGAAGGTAATTTGGGTGGTGGCGGAGGTCTTGGTGGAGCTTGAGTGTTCACATTTATTGGCGATGGAGTCTGCAACTGTATGGGTGCAGGTTTTGATAGGGCTGCAAAAGGATCTTGCTCTAACCAAGGTTCCAAATCGAATTCCGCCAATGGTCCTACTCCACAGGGTAGACGCTCATTTTGTGGTATATTGGGTGGTAGGAAAATGTGAGGCTGGAATGTTCCTCCACCCACCGAGCGACAGAGAACCGAGGCCAAAGTAACCCTTCTAATGGAATGTAACTGTGCCGGGGTGAAAGAACTTTCAAATCCACCATTTTCATACCAAAACCGATCGCCTTTACGGGAATTACTAAATTGCTGGGCAATAATACAGGCAAAAGTTGGACCCACTAGGCCTCCTACCACAGGTCTTTCAGCAATGCCACCCACAAAGAGATCGATATCGTGGACATTTTGATAGGCATGGCTAATACGCCGAGCCGATTCGGGACCCACAACATTGGCAAATTCCTCCCAGGTGTTAATGGGTGACAAGCCACAGGGTACACGCCAATGCGTGTAGGGTGGTATGCCGTGATCACGGCCACGTTGGATGTTGATTGCCGCCAAATCCAAGCCAAAGGGGAATCCTGGAAAAGGAAAAGTAAAATTACAACAACCACAATTTTAGAGTACCTCTCCAATAAGTTCACCTGGTGTTTGGAAGAGATGGTTGGTTAATTCCGGTGTAATAAACTCATCCCGCTGCAAAGCTCTTTGATTGGCCATGCCACGAATCAAACGATGCAAAGAACCCACAGAACCAATATCACCTCTCTGGAACTCCTCATGTAGACTTACATCTAAAATGAATAGGAAAGAGGAATTATTATTCTCCATACTTTCAAACCATGGACTCCCTCACTACTCACTGTTACTCAGCACATTATGGAACCGATCACAACGCATGTAGGAGTTCTGCACCAACGAATGACCAAAACGAAAAGCTGCTGCCGCAAATGCATTTGCCACTCCCGGGTTTGTCTTGTGATCATAACCCTCATAGTATCCCGAATTCAGCAGTTCCAAATCGAATAACTTCACCACTTCTCTACCCAAAATAATAGGCAGAAATTCCCTATATGTTATGTGCTGGAACATAGCACCTATAATGCGTCTGGTCTCCTGATAAATTTTCTCATCACTCCAATGTAAATTCATTTCACTCAGACGCATGGCAATGTGATTGTGTTCACCAACCCAGACGTGGTGCAAGGCCAATAGGCCGGGTTGTTCACCACTGCGACCATCACCAGCTCTTATACAACTGGTGGCAATTGCACCTCGCTGGCAAACATCATCATTGGGATTGCCGCGGCCAAATATCAAAAGACCATTTCGGAAGACTCTGGCATTATCCGAAGACTTGACACTGTTCGAGTAGATGGGTGAGGCATCAATGTACGAAGTGGCCTGATTGGTTTGTTCACGCCATGACAATACACAATCTCGCCGCTGGGCCGGCGCCGAACGTAAAAATTCCAAGCAGCGAACTTTTAAAGAAGATAACCAGGGATCATCCAAGGGAACTTTAATGGGAAAGCAGGAGGGGTGGAAATCTTTGCTGCCGCAACAACTGGGCACTGAACCATTTATGGATCTTAAAACAAAAAATATAATTAGGGATTTTATTTTAAAATCTTCAAATAATTTACCTTGGTTGTGCTGTAGATGTTAAATCATGATCCAACAATTGACCCCATTGAGCCAACATCAGAGTCAACGGTGCTTCACCATCTCGGGCGCCATGTACCAGCAAACTCACAAAACGCGAAGAAGATAGTGGACCGCCATTTACAGATTTACGCACCGAATCTACTCCATCGCCGTATTCAGGGGGTAGAAAACGACTAAAGGGCATTTGTGCTGCACCCCACCTAGGTCGCCTTTTATTATTGCAGGTACCATCATGGGTTCGATAGCGTTCAGATGCTGGCATACATGTTGGCGCCTCACGCGGTGGACATAGACTTTCCAAAGATGTTCGTCGCAAGGATACTTTTTGACTGTGTGCCTGCCTAGCCAAATCCGTATTCAGGTGATAACTGAAAATGTAGAAAAGTAAAATAGTGGAACGTTATTTAGGGACTAGGTTATAGAATTTACTCATAAGATATATACATTTACAGCTCTACAGGAGCGTCTAAAATGCATAGGAGGTATATAAAATAATACATTGGTGAAAATTCTATCGAATTCTTTAAGGAGAACGAGCTAAAGTTTCTATGTCATCATATGAGGTAAATGGGACTACATGGACGGATGATCAACTATTCTATGGAGATGGAGTTTCTAATGTCAATTATTCATGATTTTATTTTATCATTGGTAAATTATTTTTCTTCCGTTCGTGGTTTCATTTCCTTTGTTCAACATTATTATTCTCCGTGGGCTCCTCAGCCGCTGTCAAATTTCCATCGTGTGTTCTCACCTACTCTGTACGAGATTACGTTGTATTACAACCTCCTGACTTGCATTATGCAACTCTATGGGTATGTTATTTGCAATAATCGTTCTACGAGTTGTGCTCTGTATTTTTATTTTGATTTTATATATTCGAGGTAGTGAATTTTTATTTTGATTTTATATACCTCGGAACCACCATAAATAAACCTAATGACATCATTTTTTAAATTCGGAGAAGGATAGTGTTGGCCAACAGATACTACTATGATCTAAGTAAGCATTTTAGAAACAAGGTCATCTCCCGCCAGACCAAACTCACACTCTACAAGACGCTAGCCGTGCTGGTGTATGGATCTGAAGCATGGGTTCTTACGCAAACAGATGAGGCAACTCTTGGAGTGTTTGAGAGAACAATTCTCCGAAATATCTACGGGCCGATATGCATCGACGGTGAATATCGGCTTCGAATGAACCACGAATTATACTATATATACACGGACATCGACATAGTCAGTCGAATCGAGCTGCAGCGACTACGGTATATATAAGCGAGGCAACTGACGGTTCACGCAAAAGGGAAGGTCACGATTTCAATGGAAAGATCAAGTGGAAAAGAACATTTCGGAACATGGTCGTTCAAATTGGAAGAGCTGATAACAAGACCGACGCGTCTGGAAATCTTTTTTAAGCTCGGCTTATGGAAGAAATGGTCTGTCACAAGCTAGCTAAGTAAGTAAGTGGTTTTAACATACTCCCTAAGGGCTTTTATCGCCACAAGGAATTTTCCTCCCCCCAAAATGTTGTTGCACAGTGTATTCACTATCTCTTTCAATTATAATATTGTTATTATCAATATGCTCACTTTTCCTGGCTTTAAATTTTTTACTTATATGTAACAAATTTTCTTCCAAATGTAGGGTATAACAAACTACCAGTTATTGTAAACAATTTCCAACAACAAAAAAATCATTCAAAGAAAATAGTTGTTATAAAATCATTACAATTGCTTGGAATTTGGACAATTCATTGGGTACACTTGTAAGCAGCATTACCAAAATTACTACAAACTAATAAAAATAAAAACCAGCTACAAGTTATATGAAGCATTTAGTATTGGTATCATCGGATAGTATGGTCATAACGTCTAGCTGACTCTCGATGGGCAATAATGATGCCTGCACTCCTATCTATGCCTGCAATACAGCAGCGAAAGAAAGAAAATCACGTACACCATACACAGAGGCACGCACACAGACAAGTGTTTAAACACGCGCACTGCAGTGTGACCGCGACCAAGATTCGTGTAGAGGGGTGGGTGGTGTTGGTATGAAACAGGAGGGCCAGTGATTAAAAACGTAGTCCCCGACCAACAGAGCGGTCAGTGAACCCTCATTCCACAGTTACAAAAACAAAAACGGCAAATAAGCCATTCCAGACATACATTCACAGCGAAAAAACCCACTGGCACACGGACCACCACTCACCACTAATAACACTCCATTGAAAGAAAAAACACAAACAACAACAAAAACTAAATATTTTATATTTGTATAAACATTAAGTTTTTAGTATGTTTAACGGACACGCTCACCCATACACATGCACCAATTCATTCGCCACCCATTCATTCATATTCGCCAATCAAGCCATTTGCACATGCCGATCTTTTATGGGGGTTAACGCGAAGAAATCGAAAGTATGTTTTTTTTTGGTTGATGTAACCAATTATGAATGATCAAATTTTAATAATAACAACAATCGACAGTAATAAGCAACAACATCAACAACAACAAGAATTATAACAATCAAACAACGAACCAGCCAGCCAGCCGACCAACCCAGCATACCGTGATACAGCAACAAAAACAACAATGAATACAATGTGCTTAATGCATGTGAGAATGTATTAGTTACATGTTTTATATTTTGATTCATTGGCGAATACACAAACACTGCATGCCAGATTGGAGTTGTGCTTTTTAGCCATTCGACATGTATATCTAAATTTGAATGAGAGAGTACCAGGCGAATGAGTAATATTAAGTCGTCGTAACTGATTAACTTTGGGCACCGGCATTCCTTTGTTGTTGGTGTGCTCACTACTGAGAGTTTGAAAAATGTCATTTCTCAAAAAATACAAGACGACATTAATTACACTCGGCTAAAAGTTTTACTTTCATTATCGTCCTCTTCATCTCCATTTCGGTTGTTTTTATTTTTTATGGTATGTAGTGATGATTAACATTGTGATGATCATTGTCTTTTTATTTATATTTAAGGCATAATCGGTCATACATCGACTTCTCGTGTTCACTGCTCAATCATTGATTAAACAACAAAGTAACCCCTGTAATCGTAGCCTTTATGTGCAACCCAGTAAACATTTTTATATGAGGTTAAGCCTAACGATTAAAAAACAAATAGTATCGCAAATAAATGGAATCTAAATTTATAAAATAGTAAAGTGAATCTAAATTTATAAAATAGTAAAGTGAGTGGCTGACTTAACAATTCACCAATGCTTAGGCGAAACGGCTGAAGATAGAATTTTGATATTTGGGATGAGTGTCACTCTTAGTCCGAAGGTGTCAGATATGGCTGGGTTTTTGGAAATTCGTACTAGAAGGACACGAAAAGTACTACATGTGGTACCATTTGTATTTGGCGATGGGTCACTGATGGAGATGGAGTAAAAAAGGTTTTCTTTTTTTTGGAAATTTGAGTTATTAGTGTACGAAAAGTACTATATTGAAATTTGGAATGCGAATCAAGGTTGAGAAGTAGGGTCGATATACGGAGGTGGTTCTGAATGTGTGTACAATTTGAATTTGGAGGAAAGGATGGAGCTTAAATCTTAAAATTGGAATTTAACATTATTGTCGAAGTTTATAATTTGTACTTGTGTGTACGAAACGTACTATATACTACTAAATTTGGTACACATTGGAATTGATTGTAGGGTTGGGGTATGGAATGAATTTGATATAATTTTGATGAACTGATAGAGCTAGAATCAAGAAATTTTTAATTAAAATTACTGTTGGAGTGTAGGATTAGTGTATGTAGAAAGTTTTGGGAATTGGTACATATGTGTACTAAATTGTACTTAATATGATACAATTTCGATTTGGGACTATGAAATATGATTTATATTGAATGGTTGAGGTAATGTATACTTATGTTACATAAATTTTGATTTGGGTGAACCTATAGAGTTCGAATCAAGAACTTTGAAATCAGTTTTACAAATAAGTACTACAAGAGTACAAAAGGTAATAAATATAGATTTAAATTTCTGTTGCGGTCAGAATTGGAGTATAGAGATATGGAGGTAGTTTTGAAAACTCTTGTTACGTGGGAACAAGTAAAAAAGCCTATCGGTGTTGCGACAGATATATACTCCCAGTCTATGCTTTGCGGAGTCTTCGGAATTGCATACAGATTTTATTATTAACTTTATATAAGATATATGTTTTTATCGAGGGGATTTGGATATAATTTTGATTAAATCGGATATTCAATTCGCTGCCATTAAATATATAAGTTTATACAATACTGATTATTTTTGAGGGAGGTACCGGAAGGAGCCCATCTTCTGACTTGATGTAGGTTTGGTAAAGATAATAGGTTATGTAAAGTTTGGCTCCAATCGGATACTCAATTCGACTGACATTGCATACATATATATGAAAAATGTTAACCATTTGTGAGGCAGGTACCAAAAAGAGTGAACCAACCAGGACTTGATCTAAGGTTGATAAATATTATTCTCCGGCAGATGGCTGTACTGATATATTTTTCGTAAAGTATCGATCAAACTATTTCAGATTTATGCTCGTTGGACGGATGACATTTCGCAGTAAAAAAAATGGATTATTTTTTGTTTGGTGCATTCAGTTCCGAGTTACAGGGTGTTAAAAATTGAAGTGACCAAAGAGAAAATTCGGTAAATTTTACAGTTTTTCTTTAATAAAAACAGAAATGCAAGCCAAGCGGCTAAAATTTTGAATGGTCTTTATGGTTGCGATACTGTAGCAGCTAATTATGTGTAATATTGGTTTCGTAGATTCCTTTCAGGATTTTTTGATTCTGGTCGTCGAAAATGTCGATAAAATCGGAGAAATAATCGAAGTTGGCATTTAAAATGGCAACAAATCATATAAGAAAACGTTGTATATTTGGCCCAAATCGGACATTCCGAAGCATGTTAAATAAAGTCCTATAGTTCATATAAAAATAATGGATTTATTTTTCCCCAATCGTATTTACAGTGGAGGTATACAAAATCATCATTAAAATTTCGACTATAAACTGCACAACCCAAATATTGGTTGTAGACCCATTATCATAGTATATCATAGTATACCGATTATCATATCTCTAGCTACATCTATCTATGTGTGTCCGTCCGTCTGTCCATTATAAACTCGGAGTTATGGACCGATCACCGTGAAATTTTGCTCGGTCCTGGTCAATGCCTTTATGGATAAACAACTTTAGTTTTGTCTGAGGTCACGATTGATTTATTCTATTTTTTAATTCTAGTCGGTATTGTCGA